GCCCTGAGCAGGCTCTGAGCACTGGGCAGCTCCAGGAGCTGCTGGCATGGGGACTTTCCCTCGAGTCATGCAAAAAAATCCTGTTCCTAAAGGAACAAGTTGTATGGAATCATGGACTGGTTTGGGTTGGAAGGAGCTTAAAGATCATCCTGTGCCACCCCTGCCATGGCAGGGACACCTTCCCCTGTCCCAGGCTGCTCCCAGCCCTGTCCAGCCTGGCCTTGGGCACTGCCAGGGATCCAGGGGCAGCCCCAGCTGCTCTGGGCACCTCTGCCAGGGCCTCACACCCTCACAGGGAGGAATAAGCATTCCCTTAATGAACTCTGAAAATTTGAATCCTGGTTTAGGTATTGGCTTTGCTTCCAGGGCTGGTTCAACCTCGTGGTTAAAAAAAAAAAGAAAAAAAAAGAAAAAAAAAAGAAAAGGAAAAATAGTCTTGTTTTCTCAGGAATTACCTCATGTCTGATTAGATACTGAGTTCTCTTCAAAGCCAGAGGATCTTTTAGGCCCTGCCTGGATAAAATTCTTTTATTTACTAGTGAGATCATGCAGGTATCTGGAAAGATAAGCTAGGTAAACATTAAGGTGCCTTTCTCAGTAAGTCTGAGGTAGTGCTGAAGCCACTTGTCTGAGGAATAAACCCTGTTACGCTGATTTATTCTGTAATTTTTGCACACGACAGCCTTCTCCTGACTTCACAGAAACCTGCAGAACCCGCTCCCAGGTGTCAAATCCATTCTCTCAGGGCCTCTAGATCTGCTCATGGGAAATTTGGCAATTAGCTGTGTGTCCTTCTGGTGGTTAATCAAGGGTGGCCGTGCTGGGTTGGAGCCTGGAGGGGAGAGGCTGCTCAGGCTGGGGCCTGACTTCATTCAGCCAGGAGCTGAGCTGCTGTGTGTGCAGAGAGGGAGGTGCTGCTGCAGGCAAACATCCTCCTGGGCTCAGGGAAAGTGCTCTGGGCAGGCTTTAAAGGATGAGGGAACCCGAGGAAAGCACTGGGAGTGCTTGTTTTGAACCTCACCGGGCAAATATTTAGAAGAGAGAAGTGCAGAATGTTGGCACGTGGCTCTTTCCTTCCTGCAGATAAGGATCAGCAACTCACTGGGTGAGATTGTGTCGAGAGATTTATTTTCCTCAGAGTGTCTGGCAAACACAAATCTCTAAAGGTGGTTCACAAGGGCTGGAGAAGACTCTGTAAAAATTTAAACCAAAAAAAAACCTCAAACTCCAAAGGTGGTTCACAGGGGCCGGAGAAGACTCTGTGTAAAAATTTAAACCAAAAAAAAACCAACCTTCAAACTCTATAAAGGTGGCTCACAGGGGCTGGAGAAGACTCTGTGTAAAAATTTAAATAAAAAAAACCCCTCAAACTATAAAGGTGGTTCACAGGGGCTGGAGAAGACTCTGTGTAAAAATTTAAATGAAAAAAACCCCTCAAACTACAAAGGTGGTTCACAGGGGCTGGAGAGGACTCTGTGTAAAAATTTAAACAAAAAAAAAAACAACCTTCAAACTCTATAAAAGGTGGCTCACAGGGGCTGGAGAAGACTCTGTGTAAAAATTTAAACCAAAAAAAATAAAAACAACCTCAAACTCTAAAGGTGGTTCACAGGGGCTGGAGAAGACTCAGACTTTAGACTCAGACTTTAGAGATGGTTCACAGGGCCTGTAGAAGACTCTAATAATTTAAAACTAAAAATGGTGGGAAAAAGCAAACCAAACCAACAAAAAGCCCAAGGGTTTCCTCTTGGAAAGGGGATTTGTTATTTAAGAGTGGTCTGCAAAGGGTTTTTCCACTTTTGTGTCCCAGGTGGAAGCATTGCTTAGGAGTGGAACTGTCCAGGAGAGCAAGTCTCAACTAGGCTGGAAAATAAGCTTTGGAGTTTTTTAATGTTTCTTCCTTCACAAGGAGCCAGATGTTCTGTCTGAGTGGGAGTATCTCAGAAATTAGAGCTACTCCAAGGCAGTATTTTTTCACGCAGAAATTTTCATGCAGAACTTTAGCTGGGCTGGAAGCCAGGTTAGTGCCAGTGAGGAGTGTTCTCTGTGCCAAGGTTTTCATGGATCTCCTTGGATCCAGTCACAATTTGCTGGTTCCATGCTCTGTGTGCAGTTGCAGTGGGGCCTGGATTCTGGTTTGACAGCAGCTTCTCCATGCAGCACAACTTTGGTGTCTGAAAGAGGGGAAGTGTTGCATCCTCACCAGGATTTACACTGCACTCTGCTCTGCACAGAGGGGTGCTCTCCATTTTTAAGGTGTTACTTATGGAACCCCAGGGTTTTTCAGGACAATCCACTCCCATCCCCTGCCTGGGCAGGGACTCCTTCCACTGTCCCAGGCTGCTCCAAGCCCAGCTTGAGCACTTCCTCAGCTTCTCCAGGCATTCCACTGTGCCCCCCTGTTCCTGAGCCACCGAGGCTCCCCTTGCCACATTAAGCAGCTGTTTTGGGGTGGGTACAGGCTTTTTGTCAGTGGCAAATCCCTCTGAGTTGGAACCTTGTTGGAATCAGGGCTGAGCTGTGGAGTCCCGAGACTACCCGTGCTCTGCCCGCCCGAGAACAGGGTGTGATGTTTAACACTGGTGTGGCCTGGGGTTCCAGAGATACTGTGGGGTATCTCTTCTTGCCTGAACTGTCTAATAATAGAAGATAATCCCTGCTGTCCTTCCTGCAGCCCATGACAGACCTGGACACAAAGATCCAAGAAAAGGCCATGAAGGTGGACATGGACATCTGCCGCCGAATCGATATCACGGCCAAGCTGTGCGATGTCGCGCAGCAGCGCAACTCGGAAGACGTTTCCAAGATTTTCCAGGTGATTAGGCCCTGAATTTTCCATAGGGCAGGGCAGGAGGGAGCAGTGCTGAGCAATGTGGTCCAGGTCATTTGCCTTTTCTTGAACTCTCTCTCCGTATTTCCCCCGCTGTCTGTCAGGGTAGCTCTGCTGCAGGAGCTGCTGCAGCAGCAGGAGCACAAAGTGCAGAGAGTTGAACAAAAAAGGAGTCCCAGGATGATCTTTAAGCTGTGCTGTGAGTCTGATGCTAGTCTGCACTGAATGCAGGGAAAAAAAGCAGTGTTACAGGGTCTAGGTTTGTATTCCTCCCTCCCATTTGTTCCTTCACAAGTGACAGGTTTTAAGCTCGTGGAACTGTCATCTGAATGTTCTTATTTCTGGCTCGAGCTCTGTGGCCAGAAATAACATTTCTGTGATGGTGAGCTCTGGCTGCTCCAGTTGCTTTCCTTGGAGCTCCCTGGAGCTCCAAGGAAAGTCCTTTAATTTGCTCCCAAAGCTCCTGGACAGCTCTGCCTGGATCAAGGCTGTCACTCCCAGTGCAGCTGGTCTTGTCACAACTGCAGTTTCAGCTCTGATGAACCCTCCTTCCTTCTGCTTCCATCTGAATGTGTCTTGTTCAGGCTTTCAGTAAATCTGACGCTTTTCTGTGTATAGTGATAGCACACAGTGTGCTAAGTGCTGTCCAGAAACTGTAAAGGATCCTTGTGGGCTCTGCTGGTGAAGCTGTAGAAATGTTTGATGCTTTTTTCCCCTTGTGTTCCCCAAAAGACTCAAACTTCCTCAGAGAATTATTCCTCTGGGAAGTTGAGCCACTGTATGATGCCAGTGCCTCCTTCTTGTCTCTGAGGAGAATTGCTGAGTCTTTCTGCTCAGAGGTGACTGCAGAGCACACTCCTGGTCAGGACTGCAGGGGTTAAAATGACCAGGAGGATGACACCTTGGAGAACAAAACCAACAAGGGATGGTTTGTGTGCCAAGAAGAGGGAAAACTGCTGTAGGTTGGGAGTGGATGGTGTGTTTGAGGTTCTGGCACCAGCTGGGAGCATCCTGTGTTCCCAACCTCTGGGATCCTTTGGGATCTGGGAGCATCCTGTGTGTTCCCAACCTCTGGGATCCTCTGGGATCTGGGAGCATCTTATGTGTTCCCAACCTCTGGGATCCTCTGGGATCTGGGAGCATCTTATGTGTTCCCAGCCCTCTGGGATCTGGGAGCATCTTTTGTGTTCTCAGCCCTCTGGGATCTGGGAGCATCCTGTGTGTTCCCAACCTCTGGGATCCTCTGGGATCTGGGAGCATCTTGTGTGTTCCCAGCCCTCTGGGATCTGGGAGCATCCTGTGTGTTCCCTCTGCGGCCCTTGAGTTCCCTGAACTTCATTTCCTGGGGGCTGTCCAGGCTTTTCCATGGCTCAGCCAACCCTTCTTGTGTGCTGAGGATTCTCAATCTGCTGCTGCTGGGGTGGGGCTGGCCCTGGAACAAAGGCTCTCTGGAAACTCCTCCCTGGAATAAAGGCTCTCTGGAAATTCCTCCTTGGAATAAAGGCTCTCTTGGAAAGGCTTCCTGTCTGTTCCTTGCTGGGGTTCTGTGCTGGAGGCCACACCTGTGGTGGTGGCAGGAGAGGGAGAGTTCTGTCACTGCTCTCTGCCCAGGCACTGCTGCCCCTTGTGCTTCGCCCTGGCTCATCCCAGCCTTCCCCTGGCTCATCCCAGGCTCTGCATGGCTCTGGCAGGTGCCGGGCCGGGCTCAGTGAGCACACGAAGGTCCGGGGGGCGCTGGCAGCCTGCAGCTCGCTTTGCTCTCCCCAGCTGCTTCCCGTGCTCCTGCCGCGCTCTCAGGCCGGCAGGGATCCCCGGCTCCCGGGAGCTGCTGGGCAGCCAGGCCCACTCCCCCTGCCTCCTCTCCTCCCCTCCCACCCCGATTCCCCTCCCAAGCCCTGCAGTCACTGCTGCTCTCTCCACTCAGGTGGCTTCCAAGAAGAAGGAGAGGAAGCTGCCGTCGGACGAGGAGCTGTCGGAGCAGGACGCGGACAACGGGAGGTTCTCGGACGATGAGGTCAGCTGCTCCCTCAACATCACGGATGAGATGAAGAGGATGTTCAACCAGCTGTGAGTACCCAGGGAAATGCTCCTGACAGGCAGCCTGAGCTGGAATCTCTGAGCTGCCAGCGTGGCACGGGCCAGGAGGCTTCGGGGAAGTTCAAATAAAATTATCGAATTTCGGCTCCTCCCTCAAGTGGGAGGGACTACAGAGGATATAAAAAATACAAATTGATTTTGCTATCCTGGGCTGTTGCAAAATAAGGAAAAACACAATGAAAAAGGGTCAAAACCAGGAGTCTGTTCTGCATGTCGGGCTGAATATTTGATTTCTAGAGTTTGCTGCTGCTTGGCTAGATAGAATTTGAACTGAAAGCTCAGCTTGGGGTAGATACAAACCTCTGAAGTTTTTTGTGATGTTTTTGAGTTGGGCTGCAGGCAAATGGGGAGCGGTGGATCTGTCTGGAAGGTCAGTGGACAGCAGTTTATAGACATCAGGAATGTTGGTGTTGTCAGCTTTGTTGCTGCAAAGTCCAATATCCCACACTGGATGAACTGGAGCTTATTTTACCAAAAGCTTTATCCCTAAACTAAATATTTTTGCCTAGAACTCTATCCCAAAGCAAAGCTTTACCCCAAACCAAATTCCTCCCAAGAAGGAAGTTTGTAACAGCCCAGGAGGGACTCTCAGCACGTGGTGCTGCTCTGAGCAGTTCAGGGAGGTGGCTGGAGGTGTGCCTTGTGTCCCCTTCTCCCATCAGGGCCACGATGGGGGTGGCCACAGCCTGGTGAGGCTTTTTGGGCTCTCTGCTGTTCTCTTCTGGCAGAGAAGAGCCCTGAGCAGCACCCTGGGGCTGGGTCCCTGTC